AAACATGTACTTAAATATGTAAATTCTAGGGGCGCCTGGGTGGCTCAGTCAGTTAAGCGTCTGCCTTCAGCTCAGGTCATGATCCCAGAGTCCTGGGATCGAGCCCCGCATCAGGCTCCCTGCTCGGCGGGAAGCCTGCTTCTCCCTCTCCCACTCCCCCTGCTTGTGTTCCCTCTCTCGCTGTGTCTCTCTCTGTCAAATAAATAAATAAAATCCTTTTAAAAAAAATATGTAAATTCTAAGGTGTGATTTCCCTAGGAAATATAAAGAAATAGAGATTTGCAGCTACTTGCAATGACGTAGTTTGGATTTATAAGAAGACAATTGTAATATGAACAGATGTTGAACTTTTTTCTTTATACTTGATATTTTGAAAGAGGTATGTGTATATATACTCAGCCTTTTTACATGTATTTAGAATCACAGTGAACAAGGCAGCTACAATGGCAGCCAAAAAACAATAGGTTTTACTATGAGTGTTGCCTTCAGTGAAGGGATTTTCCAAATACAGTGAACAGCTCTTGGTTAAGATCAAAACAAAACAAAACACAATCTTCTTTCAATGTACATAATAGTTGAATTCCTGGAAAGTTCAGTGTATGTTAAAAGCAAGCAAGAGGGACGCCTGGGTGGCTCAGTTGGTTAAGCATCTGCCTTCAGCTCAGGTCATGATCTCAGGGTCCTGGGATCAAGTCCCGCATCGGGCTCCTTGCTCAGCAGGAAGCCTGCTTCTCCCTCTGCCTGCCGCTCCCCCTGCTTGTGCTTTCTCTCTCTCTCTCTCTGACAAATAAATAAAATCTTTAAAAAAAAAATAAAAGCAAGCAAGATATATCTTGAATTCACATGTAAAATGAAGTTAGATTCCCGGCCCATATTGTTAGATGTCTGGTGGGGACACTGAGAAGCCACTCAGGCATAGAAAATTGGCCCTCACCCTGTAAGGGCGATGCCGTCATTTCATAGTGAAATTCAAAACCCCCACAAACTTCCAAAATGACCATAGGGGGCAGTGCCACCCCATTGAGAACCACCGTCCAAGACCTGTTCTGTCCAATATGGTCAACAATAGTCATCTGTAACTTGTCATATATTAAATGAAATTAAAAGTCCAGTTTCTCAGCACACTAGCCACATTTCAAATGCTTAAAAACCACACGTAGCAAAAACTACCCGCAGAGAAAAGCCCAGGTCCAGATGGTTCCACTGGTTAATAATTCTGCAACTACTTAAAGAATTAACACCAGTTCTTCACAAACTCTTTCAAAAAATAGAAGAGGGACTACTTCCCAACTCATTCTATGAGGTCAGCATTACCCTGATACCAAAACCAGACAAAAAGTGACCCGAGAAAACTTCAGACCAGTATCTCTAGAGGCACAAAGATCCTCAACAAAATACTAGAAAATTTAATACACAAACCATGACCAAGTGAGATTTATTAGGAATGCAAAGTTGGGTTAGCATATGAAAATGAATTAATGTAAGGCACCATGTCAATAAAATAAAAGACAAAAACCACATGATCATCTCAATAGATGCAAAAAAAAAAAAAAAGGATTTGACAACATGCAAAACATCTTCATGATAAAAACACATTACAAACTAGGAACAGAAGGGAACTTCCTCAATATGATATATAGGACATCTACAAAAAATCCACAGCTAACATCATACTTAATGATGAAAGCCTTTCCCCTAAAATCAGGAACAAGACAAGGAAGTCTACTCTCACAACTCCTACTCAGTGTTGTACTAGAGGTTCTAGCTAAGGCAATTCAGCAAAAAAGTCAAATAAAAGACATCTAGGTTAGATAGGTTTGCAGAGGACAGAACTTGTATATAGAAAATCCTATGGAATTTACCAAAAACCTATTGGAAATAATAATGAGTTTGGCAAGGTTGGAGGGTAAAAGGTCAATAGACAAAAAGCAATTGGTATTTTTATACATTTATAAAGGCCAATCCAAAAAGGAAATTAAGAAAACAATTCCACTGGGATGCCTGGGCTGCTCAGTCAGTTAAGTGTCTGACTCTTGATTTTGGCTCAGGTCATGATCTCAGATCGAGACCCCACGTCAGGCTCCACGTTGGACATGGAGCCAGCTTAAGATTCTCTTTCTCCTTCTCCCTCTGCCCCTACCCACCCCCCCCAAAAACAAAGCAATTTCACTTACAAAAGCACCAAAAAGAATAAAATGATTAGAAATAAATTTAACAAAAGAAGTGCAAAATGTATACTCTGAAACTAGAAAGCATTCTTGGAAGAAAATAAAGATCTAAATAAGAGGAAAGACATCCCATGTTCATGGATCAAAAGAGTTAATGTTAAGTTGGCAGTACTTCCAAAACTGGTCTACAGGTTCAACGCAATCCCTATCAAAATTGCAACTGGCTTCTTTGTAGAAATTGACAAGTTCATCCTAAAATTCATAAAACATTATCGAAAAAGAACAAAGTTGGAGGGTTCACACTTCCCAATTTCAAAAACTCAGTACAAAACCACAGGAATCAAGACAGTGTTGTACTAGCATAAGAATAAACATGTAGATCAATGGAACTGAACTGAGAGTCCAGAAATAAATCCCCACATTTGCAGTCAACTGATTTTCAACAACTGATTTTTTACTTTTTTTTTTTTTTTCAACAGCTGATTTTCTAAAACATATCTATAGGGAGTCTTTGCAACAAATGGTGCTGGGACAACTGGATATCTACATGCAAAAGAGTGAAGTTGGGCCCAGTGTTGGGGGGGTTCCCCAAGATTTTTTTTTAGTTGTAAGAGTTCTTTATGTATCCTAGATACAAGTCCCTTTATATAAAGAATGTCTTAAAAAGGAAAAGCATAATTCAGTAATTCTCAAAGTGTGGTCCCAAGAATAGCAGCAGCAGTATCATCTGGGTTTATGATAGGAAAGCATATTCTCGGTCCCCACCCCACAATTCCTCAATCACAGCCCTGGCGGTGGGCCCAGAAATCTGTATTTTCACCAGCCCTCTGGGGCACACTCAAGTTTGAGAACCATTGGCATAATGCAGTATAAAAATAAAGGCAGGATTCCAGCCATAGCACGGACAAAGCTAACATCTACTGATTGCTGACCATGCCTTCCCAAGAGCTCATGTAGTTTCCACAACCACCTTATGACGTGTTGGTACTACGGTTACCCCCATTTGACCGACCAGTAAACTGAGGTGCAGAAAGGTGAAGATAATTGCCTGAGATCATGAATTCATGAATGGCAGAGCTGGGACCTGAAGGCCAGGTTTCTCTGCCTGCAAAGCCCACGCTGTTAACCACCATGTCAGCATTTCCCTGAGCGTGGGCCACAAACATCAGTGGTAGTGATGGGATAGTCTCAGAGCGTACATGGATGTTCACTTTGAGCTCCAAAGGGTATGTACTGATCTTCCCCAACTTATGACAGGGTTATGTCCTGATAAACCCATCGTAAGTTGAAACTATCTTAAGTCGAAAATGCATGTAGTACACCTAACCTACTGAACATCATTGCTTAGCCTAGCTTCCCTTAAATGTGCTCAGAACACTTACATCTGCCTGCAGTTGGGCAAAGTCAGCAAACACAGTCTATTTTACAACAGAGTGTGGAATATCTCATGTAATTGATTCAATATTGTACTGGTTGTAGGGCTGCAGAAGGGTTGTGTGTCCGTTGTTGACCCTGGTGGTCGCGGGGCTGACTGGGAGCTGTGGTCGGCTGCCATTACCCAGCATCACAAGCGAGGATAGCACATATCGCCAGCCCAGGAAAAGATCAAAATTCAAAATTCAAATTTTCGATAATGTTTTATGAATTTTAGGATGAACTAGGATGAACACTCTGCCAAGGCTTCTGTCTGTAGCATGAGGCCAGACACTTTCTGTAATGGAATTCTTTCTGTAACGATTATAAGCTGCTAATTTCTACTGAATGGCTATCGCTTTCACACCACTGTAATGTTGAAAAATCGTTAAGTCAAAATCATCATAAGTCAGGAATTGTCTGCATTTATTCTTATGGGTTGTAGAAAGAAGAATACGTAACTAGCATTTCAAACCCATGACTTCAATGGTAGCATTAAGTGTCCTTTAAAAAATTTATATTAGAAGTCATTTAATGAAAATATTAAGTGAGTAAAAGTACTTTCATGCACAGACATGGCAAACATTGGAGTATGGGAAACACTGCTAAACCAGCATTAGTTACCTTAAGAATCTATAATGACTTGTGCATTTTACTGTATAAAAATTGTACCAAAAAAAAAGGACTGTACAAAAATACCAGATTCTGGTTAATGCACATGCTGAAGCGTTTAGAGGGAAGTGTACTAGGGGCACCCGGCTGGCTCAGTTGGTGGAGCATGATTCTCTTGATTGCGGGGTTGTAGGTTTGAGCCCAATGTTGGATGTACTTAAAAATAAAATCTTGGGGCACCCGGGTGGCTTAGTCATTAAGCGTCTGCCTTCGGCTCTGGTCAGGATCCCGGGGTCCTGGGATTGAGGCCCATATCAGGCTCCCTCCTCAGTGGGGAGTTTGCTTCTCCCTCTCTGCTCCCTCTGCTTGTGCTCTCTCTCTCTGTCAAATAAATAAACAAAATCTTTTTAAAAATAAAATAAAATCTTTTAAAAAAAGAGGGAAGTGTATTAAAATCAGCTTCCTACTTTGAAATACGCAAATCAGAGAGACTCATTTGGATGGAGTGTTACATATGTGATATGTCCACAGAACCCAGGTGGTGCATACATGAGCATCATTGTAGGAATTCTTTGAACCTCTCTGTACGTTTGCAAACTTAAGTGTTGGGGTAAAATATATGTAGATTGCGTCATACAGTAAATGAATGAATGAATGAATGAATGAGTAAAGCCTTAAAGACTAGGTAGAAATCTGCTGAAATACTTTCTTTAAACTCCCCTGCTTATATTCCAAAGTGGGTTTGTATTGCTCATATAACAAGAGAATATTTTTTTCAAGCAGAAAAATGGCACAGGAGTCCATTGATAAAATTGATAAAATAGGCATTTATTCTGAGGACGTAACACCATGAAGAAACTCCCCAAGGCCAGCCTGGGAGTGGGCGAAAACTGCTGGCTCGCTCGAAGGGGAACGGGACCTCAGCACTTCTCTGCACCCCGCCGCTCAGGGAAGCCTGGGCCAGAGCTTGCTCGGGCTTGCCCGCCTGTCGTTGCAGGCCCGGATTAGTGTGTCCCATGTCCCAAGAAGCCAGAACGTCAAGACAGGTGACAAAGGAAGTCGTGTAGAGGCAGGGCCAGGAGCCCTGACAGGGAGATTCCCAGAGTGTCGGAGATACAGGCAGCTGCCATGGCAAATTCCCGGTGCTCATCACTTGTCTGCAGGGGGCAGGAAGCAGGGGTGAGGCTTCAGTCCTAGCCGCCCCGGCCCAGGCCTTCCCCAGAGAGGCCCCCCGCGCCCTCGCCCAGCTGGCGCTGACCTTCAGGGCGATGTTGTGGAAGGTGTTCACGTAGGCAGCACCTCCGAGGAGCCCCTCATACAGAATGATCAGGAAGACGAGGTAGATGCTGGGAAGGAAGCTCAACCACACGTCCACCAGCAGGAAGGCCAGGTTGAGGCACTGGGGATGCAGGTGGAGGGGAAGGCTGAGCCTGGGACCAGAGGCTGTGATCCCATCCAGTGGCCCCTGGTTCTGGGAGATGCTGGGGAGAGGGCTGACAGAGCCGGATCAAATCCCAGCACCCAGCTGGCCTACCAGACCCTGGGATCTGGGGTAGGCCTTCTCCCTATCCTGTCCCAGCACGCTAGACGTTGTAGGTCTCTCTCCCAACCTCGCCTTGGCTCATGTCGCTCCTGGAACGCTATTCCCCTTCCCTCACTTGGGATCTCCTGGTCACCACTGTTTGCAGATCAGCTTGGATCAGGACCCCTCCCCTGGGCTCTCATGCCTCCTCCCAAGGGCTCCCTGAAGAGAGAGGCCCACCCCTCTCCCGCCATTTTACCAGACTGAGACTATGGGTGTTGATGAGCAGTTCTCAACTGGGTGTGATTTTTGCCACCCAGGGGACACCTGGCAATGTCTACAGATGTTCTTGGCTGTAGCAAGTGGGGAGGGAGTGGGTAGAGGCCATGGATGCTGCTCAATTCTGCGGTGCACGGGACAGCCCCACAACAAAGAATGATCCAACCCCAAATGTCAACAGGGCAGAGGTGGAGAAACTCTGGCTAAGGCATTCTCATGTCTTTAAGGAAGACTCTCTGACCCCACCCATGGGAGTAGGTCCCTCCTCTGTGCCCCAGTCCTTCAGAGGACCCCAGTGTCCCAGACCTGAGCGCACAGGGTTGCCTCCCCAGTGTGGAGGCCGCCATGGCGGTTCACACGCTTGATGTACACACAGATCACCTGGGCATCTCGTGCCCCACATAGGCCTTGCCCTCGAACGTTCTAATTCATTAAGTGTGAGGTGAGCTCGGAGATCTGCACTTAAGAAAACACATCCCAGGGCGCCTGGGTGGCTCAGTTGGTTAAGCGACTGCCTTCGGCTCAGGTCATGATCCTGGAGTCCCGGGATCGAGTCCCGCATCGGGCT